AGACATATTTCTGGCCTAATTACCAGGGTGCACCCATCGCCATTTTGAAAATTGATGCCTACACTCCATGCATTAGGCCTATTGCGAAATAGAGCAATTCGGGAGAGCCCAGTTTGGTCTGATACTCTCAGAAATACGAGCTGGCAGTCCTGTTGGTAGATTCCATCCTCCTTGAAGTTCTCAATGAATACTGAGGTGATGCAGATCAATTTCATTTAACTTGTGTTTGTGGCTGTGTCGAAAACCACTGAGAGGGCAGAGCTGCAAAGTCTCGAGCCAAGTGCCGTCGACGCGTCGGCTTGACTCACTCGATTTTATTTGCCTGATGACTCGACCCGAGTCGCACTGCATTACAATGACTCGACTTGAGTCACTATGTTACAATAACGTAACTCGACACGCGAGTCGTTACAACTCTGCGAAAGAGTCAAGTGCATCTCGATAGTTGAAACATCGCCAGGCCGCTGGCTGAAACCACCTGCATATGAGATAAAGAGCGTTAATTTACCCCTAAAATATTTGCTTTACATTTCAGGTTGGCTGGAATTTTTTTACTTCGTTTTCCGGCACGATTACATGCATATACCTAAACTGTATAGGCTTTAATTTATAAACTATTCTGGCTGAAAACAATATCCGGAAAGTATCAACACACTGAACATTATAAAGCAACGAAAACAGAGAATTTGTGGCATTACTAATGCTTTAATGTCTATGACAACATATAATACTCAAGAATCACTTTTTGACAGAACATTCTCAACCAACATGCAAACCAAAACCGCCAGGAATGATGACACGATGTAAGCACACCGCAATTGGTGATAACCCAAGTTAAATAATTGTTGCCCATTTCATTACTCCGCGCTAAGGGGGAAATTGAGCAAATTGAACGAATTATTTTTGTCATAATACATGTAGTGGCCACATCAGTAAAGGATCCGGTACTTACCAAAGAGTGGCGCTCAGAATATGAGCAGGGTGTAAGTTTTGTTCTTATCTGGGGCCAATAAGTTCTTTCTTTAATTGAACAACAAAATAGTCAAGGTTACACCCTCAGGGGAGGGCGTGCCATCTGTCAATGGGACAGGTAGCTTTGGGAATCCCCCAAAACAGCGAAACGTACTTGACCAACCACTACTTTTTATCTGTAGAATATTTTTCGAACTATGAAATCAACTTTAATCTGAAGTCATCATTACGTCATCAGGCGTTAAATCACAAGCAATTGCACTGGGTGTTTTTAAAATTTTAGAGACAAGATCTTTTTATGGTGGAAATACCTCTAATCAGTTTAATGACTGATATGTCACGACAAACCTGACTATTCAGTACCAGATAAACACTGTCAATGTTGGCCTTTCATTTTACTTGTTCTTCCGTTTAACTACCATAAGAGATGACTTCAAACATTTGCAGACCATTTGAGAAGTGAGGTTGTTTTATGTGTACAGTCAAACAGGTATCAACAAATTATTCTGAAAATTGGGCATTTTAAAAAAGTATTTACTCTCTTGTATCTCACAGAGATGAGGGCACTGGGAACACGGACGTGTATAATAAAATCTGGACTCGCAATGCCCTTAATCAGCTTATAGAGTCATTGAATCCACTCGCAGCCATTTCACCGAGCCGAATACAAAGCTTTCCTGGTAATGCCCGCCTTTGTTCTTCCTGACATCAATAGTAGGGAGCCAACCCACGCCTTTGTATTCGGCTCAGTAAAATGGCCGCTGGTTGGCTTCTTTTTCATACAAAGGCGTTGCAAGTCCAGGTTTTTTTTATATACGTCCGTGACTGGGAAGAGCTTGTGGCCTTGCACAGATTTTAGTGAAGGAAATGCGTCACACAGGGTCACAGCTAATGACACGCAGAGCATTGTGGGTAAATTTCTGCCAGGCAGGCGTGCCGAGCTCGCTCAATGCGTTACACAAGTGGTGGGATGTTTTTCTGTTTCTCCCTAAAAATATCCTGAAAATATTCTCACTACACTTTATTCGTTCATCCAAAATTGATCCAGATAACCAATGATTTGAAATATATCGCCAAAAGACACGTGATCAGTCACACTTCGTGAAAAGATAAATTACCATACTGTGACTGTACCAAGACCATTTTTTTTATCATAGCTGACACTTTGCTCGTACTTACAACATACCACTTCGCTAACAGAAAGTGATAACCTTTCAGTCATAGGTCGGGCACAATGTAGCCAATCACATTGCGAAGTCATCAGCCCTTCCCGTCCAGTGCCCGGGTGACGAACGAATTGAAATGATCTACGCTTTCCTGGAAAAATGAGGGCGCGGTTGCTGTGATGTCATCTTGGAAAGACAACGGTTCATCAGTGCAAAGGTTTTCTGTTAAAATTATGAACCCAAAATTTACTAACTGAAAACATTTCTAAGAAAGGGATTGATGCTTGCTTATTTCACTTGACTAACAGTGAATCAGCAAAGACGTGAAAATTTAGTTCAGTAAAATCTACAAGAATGCAGGACTTTTTTTGTGTACAGGCCGACGTAACATTAAAGCTTTCTTTCTAAGATGGCGTCACAGTTTTGCTCATGATTATGGTAATACTAATTAGCATAAAAACTAGAAAGGCACTAAAATACTCTGAAATAGCGAAACATAAGTTGCAAATAAGGTCAACAGGGACGTACATCGATGCATTTTGAAGGTTCATATTAAAAGAAAGTTGAAGTAATCACAATCGTACTATGTATCTGAAGCTTGACAATTCCTCGTACTAGGAGAAAACAAATAAACAAAAGTTCCATCACGATGAAATGGAAGATATCAAAGTACATGCATTAGCAACTTATTCAAACTAAAAATTGCATGGATATCATTCGATTTAAATTAGATGTCTATTTGCCCATCTTTACATAAATTATACATGTATTATTTCGGAATACAGTTAGTCTTATCTCCTTACATTCCCCACATCCCCATAGTCGGTAAATTTAACCCTTTGGACCATCCTGGTGTGGGAGGTGGAATTCAACCTTAGCTGCTTCACAATCGAACTCTTTGAAACTTTCATCACGCGTGCCGGCCCGCGTGCAAGGTGCACGTCAATGGAAACGGTTGACAATTTTGTCAGATCTTTGTCAGATAAACGGGCATTTTGCCAGATTGCTGAAAAACTCTTGACGGTTTCATGTTCATTAAATACATTACAACACCAGGAAATAAAAGCAAGGATGTCGGGACCGTAACTATAAGGCGTTTGGTATGTTTTTTTTCTCCCCAACATCATGTTGTATAAGCCCCGAGCTCCATTCGCTTTAAATCCCCCTCCCCGATTTCAAAGCAAGATACGTCGCTGCATGTAACCTTTAGTTCCCTTGAAAACGGTTTCTAACACGTAACTAAGTTATCCTTTAGTAGGTTATCGTGTACATTGTGTACAGCGTTGTCGTTTATGGGCGCATGCTCTCAGCTCGCTGTATTATAGCAGCCACCATAGACATGCAGGAACCTCACGATCTTGCTCCAAGAGTCCTCCGTGGCTTTAGCATTGCCGACTGTTGATCCTCCGTTCACAATAACCCCTGCATTTAAAAGAACGGGGTTCATTTTAGTGAAATGTTGACATTTGGCTGGGGGTTATAATTACTTAGACAGCTTACTTGAACGTGCAAATTGAACTGCTGAGAGAGGGCACAATTTTACGAGCAACAGAGGCTTCATGGTGGGAACGGCGTCTTTCAGGTTTACAAACGACTATGAAATGCATGCGATGCGGCCCCGTCGCTAATGAACTCTTCCCACCAACATGGCTTTTTTCAACCAATGAGGGGGTGCTTCTGCTCAAGGCAGATCACAGACATGACGATTAACCTTTGTAAGCAAAAGAAAGATCTACTATCTTTAGGACAGGTCTGGCGCAGTTTTGGGAGGAAAACGACGAGAGAAGGCTTTAGTCAACGCAGTTTTCTCCCCCCCCCCCCAAAAAAAATGATCATCACTGTGCTGGCGGTATAGCGAAAGTTAAAGAGAAAAAATGGCTCTATAAACACGCCTGAGACAGTTACACTTGAACGTAGTTTGACCCAAAAGTCCAGAAAATTGTGGGGAAATGTCAAAAAGGTGCAATAGTTATGTTGATAAATGAGAAACGAAGGCCATCTGCCGTATGCAGGACCTTTGCAAATCAACAAAACTGTGTTAAGAAAATTTTAGACATTTTTGGAACGAGGCACGCTGCCCAAATCGGTCACATGACAGTGGTACATTAAACGTTCTGCAAGAAGAGTATTTTAATAATGATTTTGAAATACAAAAAACNTGAATGAATGAATGAATGAATGTTATGATTACTTAGACAGCTTACTTGAACGTGCTAATTGAACTGCTGAGAGAGGGCACAATTTTACGAGCAACAGAGGCTTCACGGTGGGAACGGCGTCTTTCAGGTTTACAAACGACTATGAAATGCATGCGATGCGGCCCCGTCGCTAATGAACTCTTCCCACCAACATGGCTTTTTTCAACCAATGAGGGGGTGCTTCTGCTCAAGGCAGATCACAGACATGACGATTAACCTTTGTAAGCAAAAGAAAGATCTACTATCTTTAGGACAGGTCTGGCGCACTTTTGGGAGGAAAGCGACGAGAGAAGGCTTTAGTCCACGCAGTTTTCTCCCCCCCCAAAAAAAAATGATCATCACTGTGTTGGCGGGATAGCGAAAATTAAAAGGTGACGTCACGTGCGAAGGGTCAAGCCCCCCCGAGAAAATGGCTCAAGAAACACGCTTGGGACAGTTACACTTGAACGTAGTTTGACCCAAAAGTACAGAAAATTGTGGGAAAATGTCAAAAAGGTGCAATAGTTATGTTGATAAATGAGAAACGAAGGCCATCTGCCGTATGCAGGACCTTTGCAAATCAACAAAACTGTGTTAAGAAAATTTTAGACATTTTTGGAACGAGGCACGCTGCCCAAATCGGTCACATGACAGTGGTACATTAAACGTTCTGCAAGAAGAGTATTTTAATAATGATTTTGAAATACAAAAAATGTGTACTTCTGTGTTCTCAAAATCATTGTTCCGAGCTTAGAACTCACATGTAAAATTACGTTTTCATTAACAGGACGATATTGCCTGTGGCACAAGCACAATATTAATGGTATCCGAGAAGTGAAGAATTCCATGCCTGAACTCCCGTCCGACGTAAACATTGTAACTCTGCACACAAAGGCCTACATAGTTCTCTGTGGTAAAATATATTGGCTTTTCAGGGTCCTTTTAAAGAAATTTTCTTATCAATACTACAAGACTAAATGGTCTGAGCCATTTTTTTCTTGTTTCGTCAGTGAGCTCCTTAAGGTCACACACATGAAGTGCAGTGAGGAAGAAAAATATAAGCAACCAGTACAAGACAACTGTCAGATTTCAGTGCACAATTTACCGTAGCCCGGAAGGAAAAACGTGACGACTGATGGAGCGTAAGGAACTTCAATCAGGTGACCGGCGTCGGCATAACTCAGGATCTGATAGTTGGAGCATCCATACCTCGAGAGTCTGGTTGCCGCTTCCCGTGCACCGAAGCAGCTGTCCCATACCTCATCCGCCTCTCCCGTTATAAACAGAAAGTGGCACTGCCTGGCATTTTCCAGCTGTACGTGGCCATTATAAAAAATGCATTGCTTCGTAAATTAACTGTGCTTATTTAATCCTTGGTCACATAACACCTACGGGAGAATTCAATCTAAAATAATTTAGCTACGTTCTAGTTGGCGCCCTTTACATCATTTGACATGATATCACGGACGTATATAAAAAAAACCTGGACTTGCAACGCCTTTGTATGAAAAAGAAGCCGACCAGCGGCCATTTTACCGAGCCGAATACAAAGCTTTCCTGGCGATGCCCGCCTTTGCTCTTCCTGACGTCAATAGAAGGGAGCCAGCCCACGCTTTTGTATTCAGCTCGGTAAAATGGCCGCTGGTTGGCTTCTTTTTCATACAAATGCGTTGCAAGTCCAGGTTTTTTTTATATACGTCCGTTGGGTTGGCTTCCTACTATTGACGTCAGGAAGAACAAAGGCGGGCATTGCCAGGAAAACTTTGCATTCAGCTCGGTAAAATGGCCGCGAGTTGATTCAATGATCTCTATAAGCTGATTAAGGGCATTGCGAGTCCAGATTTTATTATACACGTCCGTGCATGATACACCGAACACGCATTATCTACACGACATAAATACATTATGCTGTATTCAAGTGACTGAGCCCGAGCCTGACGGAGTAGCACGGTAGGACATGTAAGCCCCTACTTCCAAACTTCGGCGCAACACAGCCGACACAGTACCGTAAACGGATGAACAAAACCCGGCCAACTACCGATTTACAATTACTGTGCATCAATGGGGAATTTGGCTTATTATTAATATGAAGAGTTGTGGTTGAACATTAAACGTCACAATTCAACTTTCAAAGGTTTATTTTAAATTTCACAAAAGCATAAAACAACAGTTCTACAGGTAGTCGAAGTATGACATACAAACTAACCAAAAAGGACCAAACTACACGTCACATTCAGTGGCAAACTGGGAAGGGCCCCGGGAGAGGCTTTCTTTCTTTTTCTACTTTTTGAAAACAGACACACGCAAACGAATCCTGGGTGCGTCACTGGTAGCACTTCAACTTTCAAACGTCTTACCTCAACTTTGCTTTTATGCTACTGAAAAGTACGACGTTTGAAAACTTGAAAGACAACGTTTCGAAGTTGAAATACATTCGAAAGTTGAATCGACGTTTGAACATCAGTTGAACCACAACGTTTGAAAAGTTGAACTGGGATATCTACGGGAAAAGAAGTAATTAACTGGGAAAATCCTTGCATACACCCAAAGAAATGATTTTGTTGTTGTTGAAAAATTGCAGAATTTTTGACTGCTTATTACCTTGTATATTGCTGAATGATCACCTGTTACTTTATACATCTCTTTGTGGATACCAAATGCATCTTTAGCACCCTCAAACTTCGAAGAAGGTTTCATGATTTCGGGAGGCGCCCTTTATAAAATAAAAAATTGAACAATACAGGCTCAGATGAACAATTTTTCTAGGTACTGAAATACAAAACCCTCACCCATTTGCAAATAAACTGAGTTTTTTTTAATGATGGAAACACTGTGAAGCGTGAACCAAAGTAAATTTAGAAGACTGCATGTACTTACTTAAAAAACGGCATCTGCTTTCCGTTCAATTTAAAGGGAAACTCAGATTGAGCGTGAAGGCCATTGATACTGATGACCGCTCTTAACTCCATGTGGGAATGAATGTGCAGTAACAAAAAGAATTGGAAGATTAATAAAATCCGTCTTTTTAATATTTCAAAGGTTTTGCCAGTACATAGTGTGGCATAGATTTATTATGTAACATTGAGTTTCAAAACTTTCTCTACATAATGCAGTGAAGAGCCGGGTTCAAGTTTTTTGATGGAAGTATCGAATGTGAAAAGGCAGAACACCAGAGGCAAGCCAAGTGTTGATAGATAATTTAAAAACGAAAAAGTCCTGTTGGATCGATACTGAATATGTATCAGATTCCTCAGAGCAGGAAACTTTCGCATGTTACACACACAAGTAGAGTGATTGCACCCACTAAGTCACGTAACCTATAGTGGGTATCAAACATCAGTAAATATACCGGTACTCCCATAGCAAAGTGTGCCATAAGTGTCATTATCAAAAAATGAAGCCAACAGTCGGTAAGATACTGACTACAAACATGTTGAGTGCTATACCGAAAATCGGCAAAACCTAAAACACACTTTGCTAGGACGCCATGTTCGTTGATGTTTGATGCCGGTACCCATTATAGGTACGTGACTTCGTGGGCGAAATCGCTCAACTATAATTGCTCCATTGTTTTCGCTTGGTTAGCGCGTGCAGTGGCGGCCGCATACACGCAAATTCGACATTTTTCGTACTGTTCATCTGGAGCATAAAAACTCAAAATGAAAAAGGGGTTTCCGATCCAACTACCCACCACTGTTAATAAATAAGGCTTTGAAGGCAAATTGCAAACGTTCAAATCCTGACGATAAATTCACGATTTTGGGAACCTGACTTACGTAACAGCTTCAGCATCATGGGGTCGTAGGAACAAAAGAAGGAGAAACGAACTGGTATGTGAAGTATAATGTCTATTTCCAGTTTGAAAAGGTCACTTTTTAAAGGATACTAAATTTACCCAAATTTGTAGCATCAAAGTTGGTTTTATTTAAAGGAAAAAACGCTTACTCAAACTAACTTGAGCCTCACGTATGAGCATGGTACCTCATATTACATCTTGGGATAATATATTACCAGCACCCTTCTAAATGTGGCAAGTATTTCTTTAAAAGTCCCATGGGTAGTTAGATCGGATGATGGGGAGACCTTTTCAGACAAGGCCTTGTACGTCAAAGTAACGTCAATTTTTCTTCCTCAGCATTTTGGCTTCCATATATTGAATGGGATCACCATTTGTTATTTTGTGATCTCTGCTATTTTCTGTTGCTTTCCTTTTTTTGGTTTTTTTTTTTTTGGGGGGACTGCTTTTTTCACCTTACCTTTTCAGGAAAATGTGAAGCTGTAGCCAGGGCAAACTGGGCTCCAGTCGAAACACCAACCATACTGACACCTCCTGCTTTCACAAAGGGTTGATCACTCAACCAGTCGATGGCCTCCTACATTTAAAATAAAATGACAGACAAAGATCCCCAAAATACCATGAACGACAAAAAGGGAAAACTTTTCTCAATTTTCAACAGCCAAGGAAAGTAACCAAAAGTTGCTTTTGGGTGGAGCGCGTATACTGTACACAGTTGCACATGTACCTATATTTGATAGCCGAAAGAGCGTGCTCTTGCTCTGCACTAGAGTATCCTCTGTGCTTAAAGATACGATGGACAGTTTGCCTCCTCTGATTGGTCCAAGGCCCGCCACGTCACCGGTGTTAAAAATGCACTTAAGACGGGATTTGGACACATAATAAGCAGATAAGAGTTGAAGCTATGCATGGTGGAAGTACTGAATTAGGTTAGGCTTGCGGTACCACCATGTACAAGAAAATATCTCTTTTATGAGTGTTTGGTTCTGAGAAGTACCGATGGTGAACACTCGACGTTCCGGACAGTATGTTCTGTTCGTCTTCAGAAGGGTGACTGGTTGCCTGGCTCTGAGGATGCTGGTTTTAAGCACTGGAGAGGATGTTGAGGGTGCACTGGAGCAGACGGAACGGCTTGCTTGATGGTGGATTTGATGGTGGATCACTGATGTGTGCCAGTGGGGCATTGGGTGTAGCGAAAGGAGGAATTAGTGACCGTGGGTATAGATGGCCCATTGGTCTGGGAGGGTAATATGGAGTACCAGATGCTGCTGGTGTGGAAGCCAACGTCTTTGGGGACTGTGTGCTCCTGTGGCCACCGCTACAGTTACGCCAGCATGGTTCAAGGAGGCACAGTGTACAACTAAGTCTGTTGACATCGTCAGCCCTGCTGACTGGATCTGTAAAATGTATTGAAAGTTCCCAGACGAGCGATTTGACCTACGCCAAGACGAGTCCATCCACATCCTGCCAGCAGACAAAGGTAATGCAACAGTAGTCATGGATAAGGCCGACTATGTCAGTAAGGTCACTGACATGCTCTCCACCCCTACTTACTGCACCCTGCAGAAAGACCCCACTCCGTCTGTTAAACAGAAGATCGCCAGCAAGTTGTTGGCACTCCACCGCTCCGATGCCATCCCCTACAAGCTTTACAGACAGCTCAGACCGTCCAGCTCCACCTGCCCCAGGTTCTATGCTTAGCCGAAGATACACAAACCTGTCACCTCACTCCGTCCCATTGTTACCTCAAGAGGAGGCCGCACCTACAACACCGCCAAGCATCTTACCACAATTCTCTAACCCTTGGTGGGTAAATCCCCGCATCACGTCACGAAAATCTGATCAGTTTGTTCAGATGATCAAGCAAGTTGAACTCAGCCCTGACGACATTATAATCAGCTTTGATGTCGTTTCCCTCTTCACCACCGTCCCCACAGGCGAGGCCTGCCTCATTGCCAAAGAACGTCTAGAGCGAGACCTCACTCTCTGTGCGCGCACAGCCCTATCCCTGGACCAAATCCATGACCTGTTGCTAACCTGCGTCTCGTCATCCAGCTTCAGATGGAGGGACAAGTTCTTCTAACAGTCATCTGGGACCTCCATGGGATCTCCTCTATCTCCGGTCCTGGTTTACATGTTCATGGACGTCTTCGAGAATACAACGCTTGACACAGCAGATCACCTCCCAAGCACTTGGCTATGCGCTGGACGACACCTTCGCCATTTGGCCGCATGCCCCCCAGCACCTGCTAGCGTTCCCGGATCACCTCAACGACCTGCATCCCAACATAGAGGGATCCCTGGGGCATGCCGTCTACCACAAGCCAGACTGGTACCTGAGCAGCGCATCATTCCATCATCTCAGCATCAAGTCTTCAGTCAACCGTGCCCTGGTGCAGCGAGTCTACAAGATCTGCCATTAAGAAGACATCCAAGAAGAACTCAAGCACATCTCAAGAGCCCTCAAGCGCAACGGTTACCGCCAAGATCAAGAACCCAAGATCACTGACTGTCGGGTCCCCTATTCCTAGAGTCAACCACCTTCTTACAAGGCAACAGTGATCTTACCATACATAGGAAACGCATCCCACAAGATCCGACGCATCCTCCACCAAGCCAACATCTGAGTATTCCACGCTGCAGCCAAGAAACTTCAAGCCACCCTGCAGACCCACAAGGACAAGCAAGACCATCAAACGAAAGCTGGTGTCGGAAGGACCCCCTACGAATGTAGGAAGGCGTACATCGGCAAGACTGGTCGGGACTTGCCCACCAGACCCAAAGAACACATCGCCCAGGGATGCAGAGGTGACTACGATAAATCAGCAATTGTCAAGCACTCACACATCAAGGATCACGTCATCAACTGGCAAGCAGCTCAACTTATCGCTCCGGTCAACAAGTGGTACCCATGACGCGTCAGGGAAGCAATCGAGATCTTCAGGCACGACACAGTCCTTCAAGCCGTTGGTCTCCACATCAGCAACATCTGGCACTCCGTGTTACCCTCCCAGACCAATGGGTCATCCATACCCACGGTCACTAGTTCCTCCTTTCACTACACCCGATGCCCCACTGCCACGCATCAGCATCTGTGAGCGCACTCAGTAGTCTTTCAGTCCAGCGGATCCACCACCAAGCAAGCCATTCTACTGCAGTGCACCCTCAGCATCCTTTCCAGCGCTTAAAACCAGCATCCTCAGAGCCAGGCAACCAGTCACCCTCCTGAAGACGAACAGAGCATACTGTTCAGAACGTCGAGTGTTCACCATCGGTACTTCTCAGAACCACACTCAAAAAAGAGATATTTTCTTGTACATGGCGTAACCGCAAGCCTAACATAATAAGCAGTAATATTCAACACAAACTTTTTATGAACACAAATGAAACCGACCTTTCCTCAAATGTTTATTCACAGGGCAAATCCACGTTGGGCCTATCATGTACGAATATGTAGTGTTTTGAATATTTTCAACAGAAATTTATAATTTAGAGATGAAAGTGTGATGGAATGGTTTTAGACAACATGTACACGTAGTACATTTTAAAGCGACTAGGGCTAGCTGCCAATATTGGATCTTGCGTGAGGTTCGATGTATGATCAACGCTTTTGTTACCCATTCGCTATTTCTGAAATATGTACCTTGAAATATTCCAAATCTATGTTTCCCTTTGAGGGTAGATCCTCATACAGGGAGTGCGGTAGAGCGAAGCAGACCAGCCCACGGGAAGCCAGCATAGCTGCGCGGAACTCCACCAAACCTCCAACAGCTCCAAACATGTCGATCACACCTGGAAACGGTCCTGCCCCTGCACAAGGAGAACCGATCTGATTCAAGATTGTCAAGTGGCAGGTCCATGTAGGCTAATCATAGAGGAAGGACACAGAAAAGGAGTTGCAACTATGGACCTTCTTTGTATAATCTTTCCAATTTTTTGACATTTTTTCTATTATCCATGCAAAGATTGTAATTTTATTCGCCCTCTCTAATACATCAGTTTTCAAAGACTTGGTACCGATTCAACAAGATGTCGACCACTGCTGAAATGCTTAGTACATAAGGAACAAAGTGCGCAAGGAGTGACCATGAAATCTCGTAGAATACACTATTGTGCAGATGCTGTAATAAAATGATCAAAACAAACACAAAATCTTGTAAACTACGGGGCTCTTTATTCCCAATTGATAAATCCAGAAGAAAGTATGGGCTGCACTTGTACATTTAGGGCACACGGCGTAATGCAAGCAAAATGCTTAAGCATTTTGATGTTTTGAGATCATACCAAGCACCAACAAATGCGTGAATATTCAACTTCCTATACCTCAGTACACAAAGTTTTAAGGATGCAGATAACTAGCGAAACAATTGCTGCAGCGATCATAGGGTAGAAAGGCGTTCGCTGCCTCGCTAAGGGTATACCAGGAATGCCAGAAAGCGGTAATTGGCCAGATGTTATATAGCCCTGGCAGTTCAAACACCTTCTGTATCCTTCCTCTGTGGTTTAATAAAAACCGGCTTAGCCTTGTTTCCGGCACAATGACTCTGAGCCTAATGTGTCGTAAAAATACAAAGTGGAAAAGCCGGGGGTGACGGTCAATTACTGCCCCACAACTTTTGCTAACAAACACGTTACTTGTAAGCCCGACGTCATTTTAAAAAGTCTGATTTTTTTTTCAATTCAATTCATTCAATTCAGTTCAACAGCAACATTTATTTCCATAATGCCATGTATGGAATATGACGAAAATACATGTGGAAAATTATGACAACAAAATAAATTCAAGGAGAAAAGATGCAAAAATAAAGCAGACAAAAATGGAGGCATTTAATATCAGGCAGACTTGATCTTATGTAGACATGCCTTGAACAAAACAGGACAAAACGAGACAATCGGACGGGACAAAACAACGGACAATACATTCTGTACGTAGGGCCTATGCGCAATAAAAGTAGGTCAGTACTTATTGTGTTGTTGAACGTGCCTTGGCCTGGGCTCTCGTATGCAATGAAGCAACCGGCGGCCATTTACGGTGCCAAATACAATTGGGCAATTCACAATTGTGCGCCTCCAAGAGTTTGCAACGAGTTGGTCAATCACGATGCGCGAAATATGTCGACCCAATGCGCATTTGGAAAGTGTCGACAGATTTCGCGCATTGTAATTGGCCAAACGCACTGCAAACTCTTGGAGGCGCAATATTGTGAATTGCCCGTATTATGATCATTGGCTCACTTGATTTTTTCCATGAACGATGTGGTCAACAATGATGAGCCTTTTTATTACCAAAGGCTCAGCTATGTAGGATGATTAAGGGCATTGCGATTCCAGACTTTTTATTTGACGTCTGTGTGGTAAAGGGCTAATCTCTTTCACAAAGGAAGGGCAGGTGTCGCAATGCATTGTGGGTGGGATATGGCCTCAACTGTGGATTTCATTGTGTACAGGTGTTATGCAAATCGAATTGAATCGAATCGAAAAAAAGAAATCGTAGGGGAATAAAATCTTCATCCAAATCCAAAATGGGCCTAAACACAGCTGATAATAGCCGATCTTGAACATAAAAGCACCTTTTGGTTTGAATAATGCCCCCCTAAGGCGCCCGCTGTGGACCCTGATCCTTTCCACGTTCTTGCTCATGTACCATCTCTCGGAAGTCGCAGTAGCCTCCGGTTCAGCCGTTTGCAATGCATCGGTGTCCAGATGTCCATAGTGCAAAGAGAGATTTACCGTCACTGGCTTCGTGACGTCTTTAACGAAGAAACGAGTGCCGAGTTTCTGACCTCGGAAAGGCTGCATGCTCCAGAACAGCCCCATTGATTCAGAACCTACTCGGAAAAAAATGAGGGGAGGGTCAAACCGTGTAATTAAAATAGTCTCCGTAAACGTGCACCGAGGTTCGATTCGAGTGATTTTCATTCAAGAATTGTCTGAAATATTGAGCAGGGGAAAGAGTGCATGTTATTCCCAAATAGTTTCCTGTGTCGGGGACAGAGATTTGAGACATTATAGACAGTAATCGTCGGTTAATACGTACATCAACAAAATGTCTATTTTTATATTATCTTTTAAAAGTTTCACATGTTATTCATTTCTAATGAAATTTAGGTACCTCTTGAGAGATCGTTGCTTTACAAAAGAAGCAGAAAGACATTTACCAGAAATTAGTTATTAGTTTGAGCAACCCAAGGCCTGTCTTAAGACCGGATGACTTGTAATAAGTTTACAGGGGCTGGTGATGGACCAGACTACAATACTGTTCACAAGAAAATAATAGGAGAAAGTTCATATCTTCGGGAGAAAGTCAATAAATATTTGCCATACCAGTGTACGTTCCGCCTAAGGAAGACTGCTTAGGGACCGAAACAACTCCGTCATCGTCGACTATGTAATGACCGTAACCTTCAAACATCACTTTTCTAAAGCGGGTTTCCACCTCAGAGACAGATCTGGTTGAACACAAACAGACAGGATCAAACTCTCTGAAGGAATATTATCGTCAGAACCATCAATAAATATCTAAGATCATTTGAATTTTCGATTGCGAAACAAACTGATGTTTTTCCTTTTTTTCCCTCTCTGCTAGGAGTTTTCATTTGATTGCAGGGAATAACTTCATTCCAAATCAGCAATGCAACACTGCGAAGAGAGAGTGGATTGATGTCGGGTATTAATTTTCGACGGAAACTTATTGATGTTCTGCAGGCTATAGGTACAATTGCTCCATAGGGTTGAGTGTATAAAACTAAACCACTTGTCATCTTATTTCGTAATTGAAAAATGGAAAGCAAAGCCAAGGCCATATTGACGACACAGTACAAGTACTTATGGATGCACTTATTAAATAAACATGAATATGGCCAGATGAAACAATGCATGCAACTGCAAATTAAAACGAAGCCTGGCATTATGCGGTTCAAATAAGGTGACTCGTACCGCAAGTTAATACATTAATGCCATTTTTAAAATTGCTCTGTAAGTTGATAGAGACATAAGAAAATGTCATAAAATATCATTCTTATATTTATCTTCATTTTTCATATAGTTGGCCCGTGCATTTAAAAATTATGCTATGGAAACGAAAATTGCGTTCTGTTACAATAACTACAACTGAATGCGTGCATGTATGAAAAAATACGTCCGTAACCCCACGAAGCGATCTTCACCGATTACAGAGAAACTTGAGGCCTACCATCTCGCAAAATCAAAAACTTGAATATTCCAGACCATGGTGTTTTTTTTCATATAGTTCAACTCTATTTCCACGGTGACCAAAGTATCCCTTTCGTTGCTCTTCCGCGGCAGGTGCATTTAGAATTGGCATTCATCGGTTAAATCAATTAACATCAGTAAGTTTCGTCATTTTCAAATTGTATTGGATGTTAAAAAATATTTTTTCAGAGCTTTTTTTTATTGCCCTAAGCCATTTGTGTTATACTTTACATTATACAGTATGCTATTTGGTTTATTTTTATGCACAAGGCAAGTATGAAGCTGCACGAAGGAAAAAGCACATGAACAATGGACAAATATATGAATACCATGCATGCATGCAGACGTCGACTCCATCGACCTTATAATGTAATTAAAATGTTACTGTCATTAATACACTTCGTTAAGTATGTAGAAAAGCAGATACTGAAGTATGGTTCATAAGCAGAATATTTTCAAATTAACATTGACCTTTTAAATCTATTCTGTAGAGCAAAAGAGCGTTTTAATTAAGCAAACATCATTCCCTTATTAGTTTGATTGTGAAGCGGAAATTAGTTTACTTTCCGGCGAGTTCCTACGTCATGCTGTTTGCTTTTATAATATATATATATTAACGAATGTCAGCAGAATGTGAGAGGCCTCCGGGAGGTCCTTTATCGCGGTGCCTCGTTATCTAGTGCGCCTCCGGAGGTCTCCTTCAGTTTGGGCGGCGCCTCAAATACAGAGTTCCCCCGGGGAAATAAAAGCATGAATGGAAAGTTTATTTTTTAGCATAGTTTAGGTATGCAGAAAACCCTATAGGGTCTGTTGCAAACAGAAATAGAACGTCTTGGGGTTTTTTCAGTACGGAGCGTAGGCCTACAAACCTTACTCCATGGAAGGTAGTGTTGCGCACCCGCAAATCTTGGAATTCTAGCGCCCCGTAGTTTTACTCGTTCTCGGTCCTTGCATTTGTCAGGGTCTCTTATTTAGCTCAGCTATGCATTGTGGAAATGTAGTAGAGACGCTAATTTTGTATTACGTTATTCATGCTGTACTGGCGTGATGGCGTGTTCCTTCACTCCTTTGTCCTTGTGTTTTCTCTGCTCAGTTTTGGCATGTCAAAATTCCCCTCCATGTGGCTGCATGCGTGGTTGGGCATGGTAAGGTTCCCTGGAATACTAATGTCCAGAAACCTCAAACTTTGTAATTGTCAATCATTCGCCACAGATGACCGGGTAAGCACTTTCACGCACCCGGCTCTACACTTTGTACACGTGACTTCTTATTCTGTATTTTACCTTTTTACACACGACACTTAGATTCTTGCACACGACTCTAGCAGGAAGTCATGTGACCCTTTGAAATGGAAGATTTTCATTGGTTGAGCTGTTCAGCGACGCTCATATTTTATTAATTCCTAAGCCTCTAGAATCCTATAAATAGAGCAGATTTTCCTCAGTTTGTCGGGTTCGTTGTTGCGAGAGCGGAACCTAACGTAGTGCGGCAGTTGGACCCTTTCCGAGAGAAGTGCGATAGTAACCATTCTTATGGCGAAGAAATGTAACCATATGAATGGCCAGCTTAGCTTGGACCAATGCGAGAGCGGTACGAATTAGCCCAGGGTGCTAGTGAGAGTCGTAGCGGCCCGTCACCGCTACGTCCGAACCGACTGCCGGGCGAGACACCCCGCGTGTCCCTCGCCACCCTTGTCCTGCTAACTAGCCCTGTCCTCCCCGTCTCTACGCTGAGCCAATGGTACATAGTGCGGCGATCTTATCATTGCGCTCATCACGTTGCTGTCTGAGCGGCAGTGTGGTCGGTACATACCGGCGCTGGCCCCATCCAGCCCTTGCTAGTCACCTTGGTGGTCCGGGACAGCTCCCACCACGGCCCGGCCCGATGAGTGTAGCCTAGCTGTGTGATGCTACACACACGTACCGTACCCACCCCGTCTGACTTGCATTCCCAATGGTCCTGCCAAACTGTAGTTTAGTTACACTCGTATATAACTTCGCCTCTCTATAACTTTGCCTTTTGTGTGTTGTATTATGTTAAGCTACACCTTCTTCAAACCCACATTGAACTTTGATGAAGAGAAGTGAGAGCAATAAACCAACCATACAGTTTGACTGTCACCTAAACCCCTTGTTTCATGTCCACCTTTTAACAAATTGTTGACCCCAAATATCACATCCCGTAGACACTAATGAAGTCCATGCTACCATCGACTTGATATTTAGGGAACGCAACAATATTAATGGGGCCTTGGGGGATCTGTGTACGCATAATCATCAGACAAAGGTTACTTCGCCCGTTGTCTCCTGATAAAATAATACACAGCAGTGTAGCAAGTGCTGTTCCTGTCCTACCTCAGCCGTCTGTCCAGTGCTGCTTTTTTCAGCAGATGTCACCAGATGGTACGGCCGAAGTTGGCCATGCGTAATAATAATAAATCATCTTTTCTAATTCCACTCTTCATGAGGTAGTCCATGAAATAGACAGAATACGGTGAGCAACGGGTGGCAGTGGACTACACTGTAAAATACCGTTAAAATGAGCAGTATGTACTGTATTTTTGTAACATTTATCTACTGTCAACTTCGTTTATGTACACGTATTTACTGTGCTTTTGTGAATGCGGAACATTACTGTACATTTATCAGTAATGTTTTACGGTGTAAGCTTTGACCTCAATTTGCATATCGACACAAATGGGGCTTGCTACTTTTGCCGACTACTTTTGTGGTTTCCATTCTTTACGCAAGTATTTGAGATTAGTCTGACAAAATGTTTGTGCTTTTTGGATGTAGTTTTACACGTAAATGCGTACGAATGCCTAACAGATAAATCGAACGTGAAAATGAAAAATCTTACTTTTTCATGTTCCAACCACGAGAGCACTTCCTCACCGTAGCCACGATGATTGGCATCCAGTCGTGCGCGAAGTGATCTCATTAATTTGCGCATTTTAGAAAGCCCGGTCATTTTGGTTTTCACGAACTGACACCAATCTTAACGTCACCACTAAAAACGACTTTTCATTGAAATTTTATGCATGCATCTACGGATGGACTAAATTCTTGTCAAACTTGTCGAAGTATTGTTTTAAACGTTGTACTGTTTTAACGAGAGTGGGTGCCACTTCGTGAAAACGAAAATCAGTCAGTTTCGCGTCAGCGTCCAATATGTGCGCGTACCACCGGGTGTTAGTTCGTGGAACCGAAATTGTTGATAACGCGGTTATCACGAACTGACATGCACCCACTTGCAGGTTATTGTCAGTTCGTGGTGTCGGCGCATACCATGTCAGTGCACATTAAGAATGTATATAAAGTTCTGCCGTGGTCAAGGCTTCTGAAGACGACGTATGTGTATTTTATACGTAATTATATTTGAGCTGTTAAAGATTAACATGAATTAGAGAATCCATTATCAACAGAACGTATATCTAAATACGCATGCACTATGTAGAATGAACCCGTATTGAATGAAAAGGGCAACGTGCTTTGTCTAATGTCTCCATGACATTAATGTAAATAATTGACTTAAGTCACTGTTGATTTTACGGTTAATTACTGTCCAACTCAATGACGGCGCTTTACCGTAAAAAAAATTACTTTAAATCATTAACAGTACACTACTGGCGCCCGTGCTGTCAGTAAAGTACTGTGAGAATTTACAGTGAAAAAACTACAGTGTAGCCTACTTTGGAGGGGGAGGGGTCCAGCAAAATGTACCCTTTGGAAACTTGTGAAAAAAAGAACAGAAAAGAAGAAAGGATGGCCTGTCGGCTGGCAAACTATCATACCTAAACATGACTGGTCATGAAAACAGATTACTTGTCAGTTACAACAGACCAATGTAGTACAGGCACCAGCCAGTGAAATTCAATATTCCACAAGTTTACGAAATATCGCCTCAAAAAGGCAAACACCCTGAATCAGCCAGAAGGGATGATAGAAAACAATGGTACCTCATGTCACACCAATCTAATCTCCCATTTGAAGATAAAGGAAAATATTGCTGGTGTACAAGTGAGGCCGGAGTGTATGTTCCTTACCTGATAGTCACTGGGCTATAAGTCTTCAGTCCGGTCGCTTGGATTGCCACTTTGGTATCAATCAAGGATGTAGAAGGGGTGACGATCAAACGTGCCAGTTTACTGACTTTTGATATCATCTTAACTTTAGATGGGGCAGAGGGACGCAAAGTGTATGAAGTCTGTATGGTATCGCAGGTCGCCAGTGGAGATGCTCGTGGTGTGATTATCACACTAATCAACTGCAGCTTCAGGTGCGACTGGTTCGGCTCTTTTATACGTCAAATGCCACTCTGCTTCTGGGAGGTTGCGTACGCATAAAGGGAAAATTATAATTTTGCACGTATGCAAATAATGCAAAAGATGCAAGCCGTCCTCTGAAAATGAACATAAACAGGGGTTTTGTATTTCAGCAGGTTTTTTTAAATAAATACATTTCGATTTTCGTATAGGATACGCAGTTTGTGTACCAGGGAATGTAAGCCGTTTTATTGGAGCGAGGTGTTTAAATTGTAGTTGCAAAATTCACTTGTCACTTGTTCAACGTAACTGATGAGTCATTTTATTGGGTGCCACCCGGTCACTCTTATGTATCGCTGAAATAAATCTTTATTTCTTGCTTTCCATCCTTCTTTCTCAATTTGTTTCTCAGACATGCCCTGCAGCTTTTCTCCTTAACTTTGAAGATAAATTGGCCATGATCCCAAACGGTGTATAACTCTGACGTCATCATGACAACATCGGGGGTCAAATTACAATCAATTGAAATCTGATATTTTCTAATCTTTAAAAATCCCTATTAGGCCGTCATTTTGTCCTGAACGTACAACCACTCACTCTTAATGTGGCGGTTTTTGCCCACCCAACAATATTTATTATCCTCCCACGGGTTCGAGGGGCTATAAACGTAGGAGGGGGAACTATCACGAACGGGGAACTGTTATTCACCTGCCCGTTTGTCGGCAGTATACAGATGGGCAAGCATTAGACAGTTCTCTGCCTAACACAAGTTACTGAAGCGAAGGGGGACACCCAAGTGCAATAAACAACTCCCAGCTGGTTTATACTGGTCCTCTCTTTCAATAGGCACAACACAAATAATGAGAAAGGTTCACTAATAAACACACCAGTATCAAGTGCCCCGAAGCTTACTAAAGGTTCATTACTCTTGAGGGCGAGGGTTACTTCGGCACCTTTATGCAAATTACCTAAGCCTCTCTCAATACCAACCCAATACGTGTAGCGCACCTCACAGCGGAGAATTATCAACAGTCTCAGCATGTCCACTGTATAAACCGCAATTATTATCGCACATTACTATAATTATGTGACCACAGGTTAGTTATTTTCTCTACTAACATATCTTATGGATCGACAAGGTCAAGGAGCTCTCTGTAAACCTCTTTGATCATAGACAATAGATCACGCAGACTAAACCTCGCTATGCCGTTACCGAATTACCGGCCGGTTGAACAATATCGCCCGTCTGATTACTGATCTCTCAGCCTAATACGACCCAACATACATGAGAAACACTCAACTCGATTCTAATAAAATCCCGAGCACTATATGTTTCACTTTGGCTCAGCAAAGAAGACTTTACCCTCACGGTAAATTTCTTCCGAAGGCTCCTCTTTACACACCAGCCAGCCTGCCCCCGTTCAGTAGGCCTAGTAGAACGAGTACACTTTGGCTCCCCAAACCAAAGCCAACAACTACTAAGCTAATCTCATAACCTCCCTACTCGGACGGAGGTTTTACGGTTCAAGAGTATAACCCTCTCATCAATGGAACCCACGTCGCTTAATTACCTTGCCAAACTTCCACAGCGTTGTGTATGTTTGACGTCTAAAGCCCTTTTCGCACGACGCCCAAAAATCGCAAGGCTTGAGACACAATTTCGGGGCGGGAATTGTTTTCTTTACAAACCGCGACCATATCCTTTCACACGGCACCGTGTAACATTTTGCAAGCATTCCTTGAGACGCGAACGCTTAGAATGTTATTAGACTCACCGCCCCTAACGGCTTGTTCCATCATATTCATAGAGCCCGAAAGTAAAAAGTCACGCAGCGAGCTTCTGGAACCCTTGCGCGGTCCTCCTATGGGGATTTTACGTTGGGCCGTCCTATCACGTTCGATAATTTTTGGAAGAACAATTCCCAACTGAAACTACCCCATGAAACATTCATGTTGGAATTTTAACTTTGTCTTCCTCAAGTAATATTTAGGAAAAGTTACATTGAGATATGTAAAAACGAATTTTCTTAACGACCTTTCACTTCCAGCGATATCGTGCCCATGGTTTCCATGTTCGTGCACGTTTGTTTTCACTGCTTGTGCTCACGTGAAAACGAAATTGCACAACGTTGCAAAAATTTACCTACTTGCAGTCGATGGGTTCCAGATTCCGTTGAGTTGACTTCATGCAGTTGTTGTCAGCAAAGGTTAGATAAAAGATTAGAATCTTTCGTAATTGAAGTAGAATATTGCTTTAGGTTTACTACTTATAAATTATAAGACTGTTTTAGATATTTTGATGTGTTTTTATTTCAGTTTTTACCGACGGAGTACCATAAAATTTCAAACCGTAAATGTTAAACTAGTGTCCGAGACTGACGCATTACACTGTTTTCATGTATTTTAAATTTTCGGAACTAACGGGTACATTTTTGGCAGGATATTTCTCTTTTAGGTCAGGTGATTTTTTAGTTGCTATAAATTGATATACTAGCAAATATTTTCCAAAGCCCCTTTTCCAAGTGGGATTTTTAAGAAGTAACCGAACGAAAACAATTACAAATTCTAAAATCTTTGCACATTATTTTTCCTATCCAAGGGTTCCGGAAGCGCGCCATCAGAGGTCAACTTTCAGGCTCTATTCAAGTTGAAACCGAAAATGCATGATAATACGATAATACGGGCATTTCACAATAGTGCGCCTCCACGAGTTTGCAGCGCGTTGGTCAATTACAATGCGCGAAATATGTCAGGTGACCACAAACCAACTAAAACGTCTAAAAATTTATTAATAACACACTACAAGCTAGAACTGTTTTAGTTAAGTTCCTAGGTTCTTGAGGATTACAAAATGTACTTTTACATATAGGCCTACTGTCTTTAGCTCTCCTCCCAACGGCCATGGAAAATAGTTTGAAAATACCAGAAACATTCCTTTTTGTTGTGTACACTTATATTTAGAATGTGTCTGGTTATTTTACATTTCCCTTCCATTTTGTTTATTTCACCATTTTCCGTAATTTTACTCGTTTGTATTCGTATGTTAAATGTATAAATTTGATTGGTTTCCTTTTGGAAATTCGCATTCAGCCAATTTACTCTCGTTTTATGTTAAAAAATAACTAGAGCGATGGCAATTTATGTACATTACAGAACAGATTGGTAGCTCAGAAACGCACCTATCAATACTGTAACGAAACAGGGGTAGGCATGGATACCAGTCTAATTCATAAATTATTGATTCATGCATGGACCAATCAGTGGTGCGTTGAGCACTGGGTCTGGGCGCTTGCGGCGTGCTTCGGGCTCGCTTTTCTAGTTCATTGAAAGGTCGTGTTGTGGAAGCATCTTGCGCGGAGAACGCTGTGTACCGTCCTGTGCTGTGACTGAGGTGGCGTGGGCGCTGGACCGTGAGCACTGCGTGTGGATACACTGTAGCTGGTAGATGTAGTAGTAAGGTGCATTGTGTCTAGCTTAGTTGATGGTAGAGCTGAGTGTACGTGGTGAACCAGGGCTGTGAGCTAGTGGTCTTTGCTGTCAACTTGAAGTTGCTTGTCGTCTGTAAGCACTGGTAGTGGAGTGACGGCTGGAAGCAATCCTGTTATCATTGTGCTAACTGGCCTTGGGGTTAACTCTTACCTTTTAGTTAAATCGCCCCTGACTTGCGTGACACTCTGTGTTATTCGCGTGAGGGCTATAGTAGTGAGGCATCCCTTGGGTTATAAATTGGCTGTGCTAAAGTTGGTCGGGTAGTTAGGTTTACCTCGTGAGGCACATTAAATTGCCTGTTCAGGTGTATTGTGTAAATAAACCTTGTGTTATTTATACACCTCATTGATTTGTACTTGTAATAAACCAATTACTTGGTTATTGTCCTTAGGAATCCTGTATCACTGTGAGCTAATTAAGGTTTCCCTGTATTTCCTTGCTCTGATACCAGTATTGATCCTGTCTTTCCGAAGTGGTGGTAAATTTCCACCAAACGAACTGCTCCAAGGCTGTTCGTCAGCTGATATCCCCCCTTGTGTCAGGGTAGCCGCTCATCCTTGCGCAAGGTTAATAAATATGTTTGTGGGGTCAGGCCGGGTCAATTCCCGGCATCTTCGATCAGGCCAGTCTACTGGGTCTGCCACAGGTGTCAGTTGTCTCGCCACAATACATGTACATCCCAGATGATATTCCAAATGCACGTATTTTCCAATTGACCTTCCGTGACTGGGGGATTCTAATCAGTCAGCACATAATTCCAAAGTTGTAAACCGACGTGGTCCTCATTCCTGGCTCTCAAATTAGCCGCTGGCCAAACTTGCTTGTTGAGCTCTGTAGAGGTATATCAATAGCACTTGATAACTTAACTTGGTGTATTTCCTCAACTAACTTATGAAAACTTGTAAAACAATGAAGACTGAGTGTACAAGTCAGAGAAATGACGAAAAAAAGGTGGAGTATTCTTTGAATCAAAGAATCCGCTTTTTCGTCGTGTATCCTCAACATAGGCCAATAACCAATCATTAGCTAGTAGTGCCTGTCACGGATTTTCGTTGCACAGCGGTTCGCCATTTGTTGGGACGTCATACATCTCTAGGAAATCAGGTTCATCCCAGGCCCCGTGGAAATATACCAGGCAAGACATGGGACGAAGGGGTACCCCCCCTTACCTGTCTAATCCCTATACACACTCTAGACTATTGTTACTTAACACATCCCCCCTAGAAGTCTGTAAAGAATTTCTGAGATTCCGATCAAACAATGACCAACACAAAGGCCNGGGGGGGGTTCTCTCCGTCCTATATCTTGCTTCAAATGTGTAGAAAGGGGGGCGTGCAGTGGGTGACGGGATTTTATCATACACTTATTATGGAGACCAGTTCTGCTAACACCTGCCCTCGTGTTCAAATGAGGATGTATGCTAATAAGATTCAAGCTAGCGTATCAGTCGCAAAACCAGTCTCGAGTAACAGGGTGAAGAATGATAAAAGAATCCGTTTCTTGCTACACCATGAAGAAGCCCATGTATTACCATAGAGGAAGGGCACAGGAGTTGCAACTCACGCACCTCAAAGTGTTCAATGATAGTCGCCGCCGGATCAGACGAATAATAGAAAACATTCCGAACATGCCTGATTACTGCCTACATCTTAGCCAGACAAGCGGGGCCAGTAATATCCTGGCAATACATATAGTTCTTGCCTGCAATTAAATACAAACTATCGCTGTGACCAGGACATAGAGAAAGAAGAATCCCTGATATTAGACCTACTTTTGCCATCGTAAATGAAATTTTTAAATGTTGATACACTGTTCATTATCCATGAAAAGTTTGTAATTTTATTCTCCTCTGTCCAATACATTAGTGTTCAAAGACACGGTACGAATTAGGCTAAGACTGGCCAGCAAAATAATAATTATAAATAATTTATTCATTTATAAAGCGCAAATTTCATATAGATATGTTAAAATGCTGTGTACAATGAAGACATTAAGCGTGGAACAATAAATACATCTAATCATGGTTGAGCCGATGGCACACAAGGGCGCCTCAGGCAGCCGCCAAACGACCCAACAGTAAAGGGAGACAGTAAGAAGCAGTTACAGTTTTAGAGGTAGGAGGAAAACCCCAGAGGAATAATTCTGGGTAAAACCCACAGAGTCGGGTAGGGAATGAAAACCCAATCCATATGTGGACCGGGCCGGGAATCGAACCTGGGACCACAGAGGTAGAAGGCAAGGAAAGAACTACGTTGCCAACCTTGCCAAATGTTCACTACTACTGGAAAGCTGAGTTCATTAGAAACAAAATGCACTATTTCATCACAGGGAGTGATCGTGAAATCTCATAAAATACGCTTTTGTACAAATACCATAACAAAAATGATTCAAACAAAACACAAAATCTTGTATACAACCGGGCAATTTATTCCCAAAATAACTCCAGAAGAAAGAGCTCATTAAGGGCAATGACTGCACATATAGATTTAGGGCACACAGCATAATGCAACCAACTGCGCAAGCATTAAATTTGATGTTGTCATGAGATTATACCAAGCGCCAACAAATTGCATGAATATTCAATTTCCTATACCTCAGTACACGAAGTTTTAAGGATGCAGATTACCATCCACAAATTGCGGCGGCGATCACAGGGTACAAAGGGATTTCGTGGGTGTGAAACAGATGGTGCGTAGCAAGCGTCCGCTGCGCTCTGGCTATGGACATGCCAGGCATGCCAGAAAGCGGTAATTGGCCAGATGTTACAGCCCGGACAGTTCAAAATTCCTCTGTGTCCTTCCTCTATGGTATTTATGTAAGTTAAAGTTCAGAATTGAAGTCTTCGTATAGATTTTCTGATAGTCCTCAGGGGTCTCAATAACACTGACTTTGCACCAACGCACACCTAGGACATAAAGAACATCTATAAATTGTAACGGAGACGGGGGGGGGGCTTTTTCCGCCACAATTTCTATCTCCTGATATCACAGAGAGGCAGGTGTTTTATTTTTCCCACCATGGATCCAATCAAACCAGGATCACCGCAATGACTTGATCAGTTTCAAGTGATCAATGACTAGGGGTGAACAAATATGATAATGCCTGGGGATGATAAGGGAGATCCCCTACATTACACTTAATTTTAAAAAAGGAAAGATGACCCCACCCTTTTATATACTGAAGCGGATAAAACACATTTTCCATCACAAAAACTGACATTTTCTTCAGTTGTTTCCTAATGAAAACTATAATACAAATATACAAAAATACACTCCTCTTAAATGCAACCAATTTAGATAACAAAATAGAATTATTGGGAAGGTACAGTGCATATGCTCCACACCTCTACAAGTTGGCGATGTGTTATCTGATCCCCATTCACAATGCTAAAACTTCTTTACATAAATTTGAATATTCAGTCTTCCTTCTCTGTCAATATTGTTGTCATAGGCTGTCATATAGCTACACTCTATTACTGTACTGCGCTTGGTGGGTGTGGTTTTTTTTTTTTTTGGTTTAGCCTAGAGGTGGTCCAAACGCTTGCTTGTCCAAAGTTTGCTGGCGTAAATGTTTACTGTGTATGAAACCGCTGTATAAATAAAATTTATCCACATGAGACTTTTAGATCCTTACTTTACACAATGCAATTTCTTTTGATCGACTGTGTCATGCCACTCAGTTTGGTTCAGAATGATGATCACAAAGGCATTCCCCTTTCACTGTGAAATCCCTGTTACTTTAATCCTGGTATCAACTTGAAATAACTCTGGAGCAGAGCTGGTGACTCAAGTCATGTGACTTGAACTCGAGTTGCTATTTTTGTGAATTGACTTGTAAATACCTGCTTTGACTTGTGATTTGACTTGGACTTGCAAAAATTGACTTGTGACTTGACTTGGACTTGCAAAATATGACTTGCTGCCACCTCTGCTCTGGAGTGGCTTTGTATTGACTAAACCCTAGGTCTGACTTTATTGTGGCCTTTTTCCGCAATTCTGCCAAAAAAACCAAACCCAGAAACACAATGTAACTTTTGCTGTGAAATTTGACCACCTTGAAGTTTATCAAAGTCATCAGAGGTTAATGACACGATGTTGAAAATACAAATAGCTTAAATGGGAAGTACTTTTAAGCAGGACTTAAAGTAGAGACTCTTAATTTGAGAACAAAGTCTGGATTCTTTTTCACAGTTTTTTTTTAACTCTTTGGCTAATAGGAAGTATAAAACTACAGCCTGAACATGGCAAAAGTTATTAAATACCACATATTAGGGGAAATGCTATATTTGCTCGGTATTTTATTTATGGAAACTGGGGTTGTACCTAGTGTGATGTTATCTGCTCTGGCTAGAAGTACATCATAAACCTACAGCCCACAACCATACTTCAGTCACTGTTGCTGAAGTACCCAATGGAATGATAAAAATATTGTACAGAGAATAATAATTTCAATTTTGTGAATGTACCAGTGATTATGAATACAGCATTGAGACAAAACAAACCTGAGGCTTGCTTCCCTATTACATCTCAGGGTCAAACGGTTCACTCAGTGAGAGGTCTGGCTGTCTCTGATGTATACCTAGCGTGAGTGTCTCCCATATTGGAGGGCAGGGGCGTATTGGGCTGTGACATATGGGTGGGGCTGCTCCGAGCACTCATCTGGGACCAGTCTCCGCCCCCTCCAACCGCACGCTGCTCAAAGTTCTTACGGATGTCAAACAGGTTGATCACTGACACCCTCTGTGCAAATCAAGTTAGGGAACTCTGGCTTTAAAATCTATATTAAACTTTTCAAATTTGTTTGAACAGCACCTTTTTGAATACCAGTTTTCTTTTTTTGTCACTATTGTACAAGCGTGTTGATTACATATGCCATCCGCATAATTGACATGATCTTTTTCTACGAAAAACATTCACAGAGTAAACTTACTTTGCCTCTAAAGTCAGAAGTGTCAACAATGGAGAAAAAACATTTAGGAGGAGGAACCAAAAAAAGATTAAAAAACAACACAAGCTGGAACAACTCTGAAATTCTGAGCTTTTTTTTTTAAATCAAAAATCCCAAACTGAATAAAAACTGATTGCAGTATCAATAGACCAATCACAGACAAGGATACATTTTTATTTGGTAATGGAGGCAGCTGGAACATAGATGGTGGTTGGGTAAGACGCAGCTGTCCTAAAGATCCTGGATTGAAAAAAAATTATACCTGTGTTATATCATGGAAAATGATTATATCATATAAATTGGAAAACAATCCACAACCTGAATATCTGTTTCAAACAAACAAGACGAGCAATAAAAACTGAGTCTTAACTGAGTCTGAAATTATTTGTCAGCAATTCTTGGTTAAATTTGTTGGTGACTTAAATGCTGTGCTCATTTGCAAAGATTTTAGCCAATATATGAAGGGGGATTATTTAAAAATAAACAGCCCTAAGCATGGTATAATTCTAGCAGAAAACAATTTATTAAAGGTAAAATATCAGCTATAAACCAGCTAAATTATAAAAATCAACTGAAATGTCAAAAATAATGACTCTTAAACTTTATCTGAACAATGTTGCTTGTTAGTCCTCATGGTAACTGCAATTTTGCAATTACTCCGCAGCTCGAAAAAAGGATCAGCCAGAATCATGTTCATTACAAGCTCATTTCCAAGAGCTTGTGTGCATATATACAAAGCAAAATGAGAAATCCGACAGTTTGACCCATCATCTGCCACTGTCAATATACTATGCCATAGTGAATTAACATGCTGTCTGTACCATCACAGAAAATCTGTTATCAGTTTAATTACGCGTCTTCTGGAGTAAGCTGGTTAACACAAAATGGAAATTGTTCAGAAATCAGTACAAGGAAATCACAATGAATTATGTTTTTGCCGAACAAAAGACGTGTAGGCTCACCAGTCGGATGGAAGTAGGAATGAGCCCTTGGATTGTAAAGTTGACCTGTTTTGGTGGGCATAAAGATGGCTGGAAGACACACTTCTGTGTAAGAATTAAATTAACAAGGTGTGACATACTCACAAAAGACACGAACTTGATGTGCTAAGAGTATAGATTCTCAAAGAACATTTTGACACCACAAAGCAAATCTATGTTAGTGGTGGGCAGGGACCTTGAAGTAATCACTTTGGGTGACTGATAGTAAGGTTTTATGATGTTTAGATGAGGTTGGAATTACACCCTCCAAGCTAGCGCATTATATTTTAGCTATATGATGCCGGGTTTAAAGAGCAACTCTAGGGAAAACATGTTTTCTCTGATTTTATCTGTTCAAATAAATTGGAAACATCCATATCAAACCCACTGTCGTTTGTTTTCAGAGCTCAACTATAACAAGCTAAAAAGGGCTTTTTTTTCTGTTCATGCCAAGATGCGAATTCTGAACATGCTGAATGTAGATTGCATCATTCTGAGAAGACAGAGAAAACGAGGGGAACCCTCACCTTGTATTTGTAGTGGATAATTCTCTTGTGCACATCAAACAATGGCCAAGGGTTTATCCACTATGAACACAGGGCAAGGGTTCCCCTTGTTTTCTCTGTTTGCTCAGAATGACGCAATCTACATTCAGAATTCGCATCTTGGCATGAACAGAAAAAAGCCCTTTTTAGCTTGTTATAGTTGAGCTCTGAAGACAAATGACACTGCATTCGATTTCTATGCTTCCATATTTATTTGAACAAGTAGATTAAAAGAAAACATGTTTTCCTTTGAGTTGCTCTTTAATTTGAAGTTGCATGACGTATTCCCTGGGGATTTTCAAGATTTCTGTTTTCAAAATTCTTCAAAAATTCAAAACTTCATTTACTGGACGTTTACACCCACATGAATGACTGTCTGGTGGCTACGTTAATCTGACAGACAACATCTATTGATGCCCGAGTATTTCAGCCAAGCCTGCTGCCTTGTAAAGAGAGCCCAGATCGTGCGGTGTTACATAATTTTCTTTTGTTCCCGAAACTGGCCCAGTGCACTGCTGGCGTCTTTTCAAATGCAGACCAGATTTGCGTGCAGCGGTATTGTATCGCCCATCCCTGGAGTGCTGGAGCACTTTTGTCCCCGGTGGTAATCCACTCGTGTTGAATGCAACAAACAGTGGTATAATCATTCAAAACAATAACAGGTTTCGTTCGCTATTGACAACTGAAATAATGTTGGCAATTCCCAGCAGCCCAGTCTTTTGTTCCAAGTACGGTCTTTTGTTACAAGACTAAGCTCCTTTGTCTGATTTCGAGCACCCCGGATATGCATACAAACCTAAGGTACCCGGTACCGGGCACCCCGGTGCAAAGTTGTTCATAGCCCAAACTGTGCTCAGCACACCTAACTTATTGTTGCAAGTAACCATCCCAACTGTTTTGTCATTTTCTCTTTTGATTTCTCCAGCTAGTGAAGTATGAAAACTGAAACCTGGCAGTTTCCCAAATTTAATTCTTATAACTTTAAACAGAACATTATGTACACAAGTGGAAGTATCATTAATTTTTTAGAAATCCTAGATCTTCATTGGACTTGCTCTATATCATTTAAAACTTTTACCAAGCAGTGTTGCAATTTATCTAAAATAGTAACTTTCAAATCACAAAACACATTTAATCTTTTTCCTGGCAAACTGTGTATTAAGGATTTACCTTTGCTAGCGTCAGCGTTGCTCTCATTTTGCAGATTTATCCTGTACTGGCCGGCTAGCTGCTTAACGATACGATCCTCCATATCGCTCTTTGTTCTCTCGATCAGCTGTCTTCGTCTGATCTCACTTTCCTCTGAGAATAACTTCAGGCGCTCAAAGAACTAGGTACAATAAAATGACAAATTGCCGACAAATTACAGCTACAAGTGAGTAATAATACCAGAGCACAGCCCAAGCACAACAGAAAACTTGATGTTGGCCGACTCTACTTACATCTTTGGGCAAGTCACTGCCCCAGTTGGGTAGATTGGCAGGTCGCCTACCTCTACTCTTGACCGCTCTGCTTAAAACAAAAAAGAAAGGAATATTAAAATGAGACAAGACAAAACTGGACAGCAGAGACAAAGCACTAAGCAGCGGCAAAGTGACAAACAACAGAGGAACAGGGATCACTTCTAAGGTATTCTCAGGCGATTTCTATCCCGTCTCCTCCTTTTGCTCACTTCTTTTACTTCCTTTTTTCCCCATTATTCTATTTTTCTGGGGGGAGGGGAAACGCCCCTTCTTGTTCAATACCCCCCTCCCGGCGACGCCCATGTAGACCTACCTCTGGCTCTTGCATTTAAAAGTAAAGCAGCATCCCAACAGTTCCTGCCTAGAGCTCGTGGAAGTTTGCCTTCTTCCGACCCATTTTACATTCTATTAGCCCTAAAAAAAGTCAGGATATGTTGGACCATTTCATGCTGGGGGGGTTCTACCCTTCCCCTCCCCCAAGAATTCAGCTGTCCCATGCTCATTTTGTAAAAACTTGGCATGCATGTAAAGACACTCCTTATCAGAACAAATATGAAGTTTCAACTCAATCTGACACATGGTGTTTTTTTGACGGCCATTTGAAGTTCAAGGCCATACACATGAGCATGGGAATGGTAAAATATACAATTTTGGCAGACCGGTCTCAGGAAAATGGGGCCTGTGCTGGAACGGTAGTTTCAATTTTCACAAATGTGATGTTAAAACAACCGGAAAGAGTTACGGGAAAAATTCTAAAGGCTCAGTTAACGAAATAAAAGCACTGCTGCTCTTTTAACCCTGCAGTGAGATGGATGTACCTATAGAAAACTGGCCACACAAACTCTATGCTACAAAATGTACGTGTAGTTGAAAAACCAGAGTTGGAAAACCTTGCCCCATGATTTTTACTTTCTTTGCTATACCTGAGCTCTTTAGCGGATGTTGACTTGGTGATCCTGCTGTCGGTTGTCCAACCAGCAAGGGGTGAGGTCATGTTGCGACGGTGACCTGCAAAAGGAAGATAGTGTTATTATGGGTAGATTGACGTTTACTGCATTTTGAAATTTTTTGTCCACATGAATCTTTAACCACTTCTGCTTCAGCTGGCTACTGTACAATCGCCAAAATTCTGGCTGTCCTGTACAGATGACGCCGCAAGGGATCTGGTTGCAACTAAAAGAATTAATTTGTAAAATGAACTTGTTGGGACAGAACAGCAAGATCAGTTCTGTCAATATTGGTCTTGAAAGCGCCAAGAGTCGCAGAACATCTGACGTGGTTTGGTACAATGAGTGAAGATAGCTATTTTTGTTTGCCCGGATACGGTTGTAGATAAGGTCACCATGATGATGTCTTGCTGCCCCCCGGGTGGATTTTTCTTGAGCAAGACAAGATGCTGGGTCCTTTTCAAGATTTTCCGTTTTCAAAATTCTCCAAAAATTCATCATTTTATTTAATGGCCATTTGTACCCACATGGAGGACTCTTTGGGCACTACTCTAAAGCTGACAGTTAACCTTCATTGACTTTTGAATATTTCAGCCAGGCCTTGGAAAAAGAGCTCAGATTGTGCAGTGTTACGTAAGATTCCTTTGTTCCCGAAACCGGCACAGTGCACTGCTGACCTCTTTTCAATAGGGGCCAGATTAGCATGCAGCGGTGCTGTGTGGCTCATCACTGCGGTGGTGGAGAGCTTTTGTCCCCGGTGGTAATCCGCTTGCTCTAAATGCCTCAAACCGCGGTATACTGTTTCAAAACAAGGCTGGATTATTTCCATTATTGAGAGCGAAAAAATGTCGGTAATGCCCAACAGCTCAGTCTTTTGTGCTGAGCACGGTGTTTTGTTATAAGGTCCAACTCTTTTGTCCCAGTTCCGGGCTCCCGGGAGTTCTGCATCTAAAGCCTATGTACTCGAAAACGGGTCGCCCGGCAGAAAGTGGTTAAGGCACAGGTACACAAATAAAATGAACGATTTGCAATAAACGTGTATAAGCCAGTTCAATTATCTAAATTTCTAGCCAACTCTTACAAGTAATTTTTGAAATGACCATTTCCCTTGACAAAGGTATATACCAACGCAAGAAAGTCAGTCGCAGTAATGATGGTTTTTTAATGCAATTTCTATAAAGATACAACAGAATGACTACGTACCATCAGTGGATTTCTGAGGATTTAACAAAGAGTTGAGCTGTTCATTCTGAAGCTGCTCAAGGTTCCTGGCCAACTCATTCAATCTTTGCCTGTCAAGCCACAGTAAGAAGGGCATTTATAAAACAAATTCAGGCAGAAGAATGAGGCCGTGTCCGAAATGGGCTTCCGGAGCTACGGCTAGGTCTATTGTCTACGCTTCTCCACGCATTTCTAATGGAGTGAAGACCTAGACTCGCTCTAGACAAGAGATTCGGATGCAGCCTGATATTGACTGTTAGCATGTACAGGGAAACTCCATGTTTTTTACAAGCATTCGAAGCCACAGTTAAATGTCTTAACGCACAACTTCCAATTTAATTCTCACAACTTAAATCTCACAGTTGCAACTACAAACAGACTGGAAACCTGAATTCTGTGTGCTACTATGTGGTACACCACTATGTTGAAGTTGCACTTTGCAGAAATCCGTTCTTTTCCATCAACAGAAAAGGGGAAATTATCAGTTGTAAATGGGTAAAAATGAAACAACATACTCATATTCGTCCTGTATAAGGGTCAGTTCTTGATTGTGCTGTTCAACAAGGATGTCTACTTCAGCTCTGGGAACCATCTCCTGCAATGCACAGTGGCAAGACAGAGTTTTACAGAGAATTCTTAGTCCTCTAATAACTTTGCAGCTCCAAACTCCCAACACTAATACTCCAACATTCTAACCACCACTGCTGCTGCTGTCACTGGTTCACTGCACTCAGCGGTTACTTACAAGGTTTCAACAAGTTTCTCTTCAGGTGTAATGCGCCATCCCCAAATAAGCCTTTTGCGAGTTCAATTTGAATCAAATCTTATACACTGAGTTATCCAATTGCACGTAAACATAACAATTTGAATTCCCAGACTAAAGACACTGTTGCTACACCTTGTGATTCGGGGCAAGCTTTCTGCATAGCGACCACCATCTCTGGAATGGACTGGTTCCTTTGTGCCCTTCTTATCCACTGAAGAAGGTGTATTGTTGCAAGGCGTCTCTTATGCAACTAAGCAAAAGCTTGCCCCGAATCACCAGGTTTGCCAACAGTGGTTTTAGTATGGAGAATTCCAACTTTTATGTTCACGTGAATTTTAAGAACTCAGTGTACCAGATTTTGTTCAAATTTAACTTGCAAAAGGCTTACTGACTGAGAGTTCTTCAGCGAATCGTCTGCATTCTAGTCTGTCAGTCTGTTCTTATCAAGGATGGCAAGAGTCAGTGGACTGGACAGTTAAGAGTTACATTTTTTGAAGGAGTCAAGCATTGTACTGTAGGTACATCACAGCAGGTTCTGCCTTTCTAAGGATTCCAACGAACAGGTTGGTGAAGGGTATACAGCACTCTAGCTAGGCAGACTGATTACGTGTACACAGCATAGATCTTTCTGAAGACAATGCACCTCGGGGTCCATGTGTGTCCCTCGGGTTTTCAAAACATATCCCACATCACAACAGTAAATAATTGCTTTGTCATATCTCTGTCTTGATGATGTCATTCACTTGTTTTGCTGAGGGAAATTATGGGCGACAAGGGAATCTTTGAACATGAGAGATATGTGATGCCTGCATTATCCTGTACACTGGGGGTGCATGTATGCATGCGTACTTGTGATGTCATAAAACACTGGCTAATGCGATGTCTTATGGTGAGGGTGTCATGCGGTAATGTGGCACTGTCATGTGATTGGGCTAATGAAAAAACAGTAGGCATGAGAAGTCACACTCTGGCTGATTTGCATCCAGATCAGACCTCTCTAATCGATACATGTGGCACATTTCTAAGCAGAGGAGGGTTTCTGAGTCGATTTATTTCATGAATAAATAACTTACAGAGGAATTGTCGGAGTAAAACTGGCACTGTGTTTCATCTTAAATGCAGTGACAACTGTCGTTTTCATTTTGGCCCTTTTCAACCAACATACACTTTGACATATTCACGCTATTAAATGGGGGTATATTATGCCTAGGAAACACGGCCGATAGAATTTTTGAGAATGAGATGTCCCAATATCGCAATGCATACAAACTCATTGGTCAATTACTGGTTTTTCCGAGGACACACTGGAAACGATCGACAGAGCTGACAGACATCTCTCCTCGTAGCTTTTGTTGATTGACAAGTCTTCTTTCTTCATCTTCCTCAGGTCCACGCCGGTGAGATCCAGCACAATGTCAGTTACTGACTCCGACTCTGAACCGAAAAGAAAAAAGCTGACAAATCACAATCTCCTTTCCAACAGTCAACCTATGAGGTGATACAGGTAAAGTCAGACACAATTATTCTTCACAAGACGACGCAGCGCATTCTTTAGGCTCTTAAATTACTGCTCCTTGATGACCAACATTTGAAAACAAGTGTACAGCGTGTAAAGTGTGGCATAAGTGAACCTTGCAGAAGTCAAAATGCTCAGCACATCCTGAGCCAAAGGCACATGAACCTTCTGCACACGCACACCGAGGGCTCCCACCAAAAGACTGTCTCTACTATGTACAAACACACCCTCTCTTGCTCCCGCTCGGGATAGGCGACATTTGTAAAGGACTACCAGTTCTTCGTGCAGCACTGGTAATTTCACCTGTTTGGCCTCATGGGCAAGTACGCCAGTCAACAACTTTACTGGAGCATACCTACCTGTTTCTTTATCATGTACGAATGGTCGATGGACCCTGGTGTAGTAGAAAGCAATGGGGATGTTACCACAGGATACAGGGGCACTCCCTCGGTCCTTGTGACTTGTACTGATCGGGTAGAGAGGGAAAGAGGAAGGCCGAAGATCCTTCAACTTGTCAGCCTCTTCAATGATTTCAATTTCCTATGACAAACAAGAAGTAACACGTTAACCCTGTTGTCACCATGCCGTCCAACACAAATCAGTACAATCATAGTACTGAACAATCCTGCACAGGTTTTTTATGGGACAGGTGCAGCCCATTTATAACAGCAAAGCAACACTTCTCTTGAGCACTTGCTCACAGTCTGTGTGCATGGTCTGTAGTCTGGGGTACACCTACCTGATTTCCACAGAATGTGCACAAATTGATTTTTTGCTTAAGAGGAATGCGGTCAAGTGACAGAAAAACCTTAAATAACAGTGAGGATTCTGAAGAAACCTCTAGAGGCCCCTGCTACACAGAGATTTTGCAGTGACATTCTGAATGACAACCATGGAGACTCTAGCTAGAAAGGGAGATTTTAAACAGAATGTACAGAGGTTTTTAGTTTCTATGGTATAACGCGCATTCTATTCAAAACAATTTTTGGCCTCTTATGATTAGCGTATTGGTTTCTGTAAACTGATGTGAGTTTGGTTACAAAGGGCAATACGCCTGTTTAATCCTTTAACACTGGGATACTTTTGACCGCGACTGCTGGGCTGCGGTATGCCCAGTATTCAAAGCCCTGTCCAGCAGCAGGCCCACGTTGAAACCGCAGGTGCATGATGAATAGAATGTATGTGTGGTATGCACTAATCCTCACACAAAGCCGTGGCTGTCGACGTCTCCCGGTGTGAAGGGGTTAAACATGAGAGTCCTGAAATGATTGAGTGACTGTTCCACCCAACGGGCCAAACATGATAACTGTACTGATTCTTAGTTTGAATTCTCTTTGGAGGAAGCTTTATACATGTACGTGCAACCTTAAAAATCATTACATTAAGAAAGTACTTTACAAAATTTGGATAACAGGTAATGGATATTACCATGCTGTGGAGGTCCTCCATACCAACTGATCCCATGGCAACCATATCTTCCAGTATCCCAGAATGCACTGCAATCCTCATTGGTTCCTCTGCTGATGAGACTGGCCGTGATTGGCTAGAGCTTGCTGGTGTGGCTGTGCCTGCGTCAGACTTTTCTGCTGCCTCCTGGCCCAACTCCTCTCCTTGCTTTTTCAGCTCAGTGTCATGTCGTATTGGCTGGTCGCCAATGGGAATGGCAACGTCATGAAAGTTTGTATCTGGGGGTGCTTTTGTCTTGTCCCCGTCACCTCCATTAGCACTGGAATCTTTTCTGCTGGCTGCCGATGATCCTTTGGAACCAATCATGGATTTAGGTTTCAGTGCTGACTTCAAGGGTGCTGCATTGAGATAAGTAGACAAGCAATCTTGAATCAACTCCTGGTACTGTGATTTACTCAGGAAATACCAGGTTTTGTCTCAAACTTTCACATCTTAAGAGAGGATACCATGGTTTTCCCCAAATGTCACTTAAGTATGACAAAGCTGTTATGGGGATAGTCCTCATGGCAATTAGTGCACCATAGTTACAGCTCAGCCACACTCACGTGACTAATAAATGTAATGCATGGGAAATAATGCGTATGTGTATACAAAGCAGGAATGTTCATCATGGTTACATGCCTGAGTCCAGACTGCGTGTTAAACATGGTGTCAGAAGTGGGATTCCAACCCATGACACAAGTTTATGAAGGGGAGCTGGGTCATTCCATGAGATCGGGGCATAATTTGTGACGGTGTCCATTTTTACATGGGTTCCTTAAAAATGAACAGCTATTTCCCTGCCCGTAGATTCCAAATTCTACATCTTGCAAGGCTAAATACAGAGGAGTGTGTTATTTCTACAGAGTAAATGACCTACTCTACAGGTCATGACAGATGGGAAAAGTTACCCATGTAAAAAGACCACCGTCATAAATTGTGCCCCAACCTCATGGAACGACCCAGCTTGTAATTGCAATGGCTCACTGTTTCTTTACAGTTGTCTTTTACACCTAAACTCATTTTTGAGAGGTTCCCTCTTTCTGAGTTTCCTGTGTATGCCAAATATTAAAGCCAAGTTGGTGTTGCAGTGAGGCAAGGCTATCTGGGATAAATACACCTGGTGTCATGCCAGCTAGAACATGTTCAGAGCCTGTGAGACAGCCAAACAGATACAGTAATCTCATGCTTGAGAAGAGATCACATAAAATGTTCTATGAAAAGCTCCAATTAATTGCACGTTCAGTTGGACTACCAAATTGACTTACATTACTGAAAAGTCCTGAAATGAAATCCCAACAATGCGATGTCAAAATATCAAAAATTTCAACCTAAGACTCGATCTCCCAAATGTTTGATGTCTAACGTACATTTTCCACTGCCTCCATTTTTGTCATCAAAGACTTCCGTCCTCAGGAACTTCTTCATGAAGTTGACGCTGCACTTGAGATCCTTGTGATCCAGTCCAGTTGGCTTGTACAGTCTGATGTTGAGAGTGTAGTCATACTCTGGCTCATGTGTCCAGACAACCTGAGCACCCATGAGAATGAATGATCACTTCTGTCTTGCTTTTCGATGTTACGAATAGTCTTAGCTACATTCAATTTTTGGCAACATTTGTGCTCAAACTACTACAATTGACACAGAAGTTTCTTTCCAAAACGGGTTCAGAACGGAGCAAGAGTGCAACTAGAAAGTAAATTTGATGTGATAACACATCTGAAACATAACTTGGCGGAGTTGAAATGCATTTTGCTTTGGCGGTGGAATATTGTACAGGTTCTTTCAATGGGGCATCCCAAAACTTTGGTGGATTTGCACTGAGAGGTCTGCTGTGATGTCACAATTTCGTACTTTATTTGCGCTCAAGCTGAGTAAAAATTGACTGTGTTATGATATAATTTTTTTCTTGTGAATGTGAAACTTTTCATTGGAACAGGAATACAGTAATACCTGAAACATCCTTACAACAGCAGCAGAAGAAGTAAGGTAAAGTGGGACATAAGGGTACATTTTGAAGAATTTTGTTCATATGGACTGTGTGTTTAACAAGGCCGGCAATCTAGAAATGGGAACAGATCCCACAAAATGAGCCTTCGGGAACTCTCTTCAGTAATCTTGTTTTAGTTAGCATAATAGAAGCACACTGAGGCCTTTGTTGTGCTGTAATAGTCCAGCATTCTGATGTCAGACTGGAATTATGTTGGTAAAAAAAAGAGACTAAGGGCTTGTATTGATTTACACTGTGCAATATTCCTTAAAAGGTCTTTGACTTATAAGGTCAACAATCCTAGCCAAATCTCATTTGGTCCCCAAGTCCCCACTCTCAATGTTGGGTCTCACTGACAATTATCCCAAGAATTTTGGCCAGGATTGTAGATGGGTGACCAATGCATCTGATTACCTTGTCTGCTGAGGGAGGTTTGGGTGCCGGTACCTCTATATAGACTGTCTGTGGTTCAACTATCGTTGCTGGTGGGACTATTTCTTGTTTGGTCCCCTTCTCTCCCTCCTCTCCACTCAACCCTTGCTTGGACCTTCTCCGGAACTTCACTTTCTGATTGTACGAAACAAAATCAGCAAAGCCGTTTGCTCTGTCAATATCAGGTTTTTTTTTTCAATTTTAACTCAACTGAAGAGCCAATACCCCACAAAAAATTTTGATGTAGGCTCGCCTGATATGTAATTTTACAATACGTAAGTTTGGAGTCTGTAACATTGACAGAGATACTGGTTTTTGAACTTGTTCAGAGATGTTGGAAATCTGTTGAAGTTTGTTTTGCCTCACAGGAAATCTTTATCCTCCAAACCCAAATGTTGAGAAGTAGAAATTTCATAGAGAGTGTTATGATGGGTGGAGGAAACTTACCTTTTTTAAGCTACCTCACCTCTCAAGCCTACTTTGAATAATGTAAGTTTGTTCGAGCGAGGACCATTTGTCAACCACGGGTTGAGTTTGCCTGGTAAACCAAGACATATCGTGTGCACAGGTTACCAGGGAAAATCAACCCAAGGTGATGAGCAAGAAACTGATAACCCCCTGCTCCACCACTGAAATGTTCAGTTTCATTGACAGGCCTCCTGAGGGAAATCTATAAGGAGGCGGGGGGGGGGCAGGTGGGCTAACCTTGCTGGCTGGTGTGACCATGTCACTATCGATGTCTTGCTGGGTGTGGCCAGTCTGCGCTGTTGCTCTCGCTGTGCTTGCATCCTCCTCTTCATCTTCGGAATCCTCCTCAGTGAACTCCAGCTCATCAGACTGCCATCAATCGAAACACACTATTTTATAGCAACTGTAAGCAAGGAAGGGGGCTGCAGGTACCTAGGAACTTATCACATTGCCTCATCAGGTGCAATTACCAGTAAATAAATAGATTTTGTCACCAGCTGCGTAACCACCTCTGTGCCTTTATTTGTACTAATATATTTTCAGCAAACAGTGTACAGACACTAACTGTCCGTTAATGTTGCAATAATGATTGAAAAAACAACTTGAAGCAGCCAAATTTCTTTAAAAAGGGTACAACAGGCCT